AACCAAATAACCAAACTCACTGCCACTAAGTTGATTTCAACTCATAGCAACTCCTCCTTGGGTTTCCAAGGCAGTATCTCTACAGAAGTAGATTGTCCAGTCTTCCTTCTGAGGAGTGGCTAGTGGGTTTGAACAGCCAGCCTTCTGTTTAGCAGTAAAACACCTTTGGCACTATGCCACCAGTGCTCCCTCCTTTGAAGATACCTGAGTATAATTTTTCTGAATTCCTTCTCAGGGAGCTCCAATGCTGCTTCTTCATCAGGGATGTTTTCTAGGTCTGTATTCTGCTCCCTTGTTTCTTCTTTGTGTGGACTTTGATGGTCTGTTGTTTCTGAGACATGTGACACTGTTTTATTTAGATCTTTGTTAACTGCTTGTGAAGAGTAGTTAAGGGTGAATCAGGCTCTTCTTGGTGGTTGTTTATCATTGGCCAGTTGGTGGAGAAGCAAGTAGTGGCTCTCACACAGTAACTGGAGCTGCAGGAGTTGTAGGTGTGGTTGTGTCATATGGGCATGGTTGCCGTCTCCCACTCAGTTAGACAAAAGCAACAACTGAAAAACCATCAAAAAAGTAAAACCAAGAGGACAAAAACACACTACATAAACACACAGGAAAAATCACCAAAAAAAAAAAAAAAAAGAAAACAAAAACAAAATGGGGAGAGGGCAATAAGAGAAAAGAGATAAAGTAGGAGAATAATGAAGAAAAAAATGTGAAAAATGCAAAAGAAAAACAAGGAATGGGGGTAACTGTGAGAAAGGATAAAATGGGAACCAGGAACAGGGAAGGGAGAAAAAGCTGCAAAGTAGAACCTAGGAAGGGAAGAATAAAGAATAATAATAAAAAGGATGAAAATAATAATAATAATAATAATTTTTTAACAGACAAAAACTGAAAAAAAAACAAAGAAGGAAAAAAAATTGGGGTAGGGTGGGGCAGGGAACCCGGGCTCTGTCAGAGCATACAGACTGGGATGGAATTCCTGCTGGCCCAGAAGGTAGGTGGGAGTGAGGGATGGCCACACTTCCATTCACCAAGAGGGTGTCAGGTATAAGGGTAACAAGGTGAATATTGCACCTTTCCAGTTATTCATGTTCGGAATGTCCTTGTGGTCCCCGGCAAGTGAAGCTTATTCTTAGGTCCCTGGAATCTGAGAGAATGCTGTTGCTTTAAATATTCAAAATGGGTAATCTGCTTGTAAACATTCAAAATGGCTGTGCACTCTGGACAGGCAGAAGTCCACAGCTCAGCCCATCTCCCTCTTCGCTGCTTCTTCTTTTATTCACCAGCCTCATGCAGTCCTTCATGCAGCCCTTGCCTAGCAGGGTTGATTTTTAGGTTAATTCTTAGGTCCTAACAGCACTGGGCAATATCCAAGATGTCTGTGCCATCAGGATCGCTGACAGACCACAGTTCTGTATGTCTTCTTTTTTGATGTTTTCATTCAGGTTCTTCTACTAGTCGGAGCTTAGTACACTTCTGTATCCTTCCTTTCAAAGCTCAGGGCTCCAGGATTATCTTCTGTATCTGTGTTAATTGGTTCCTCTTTGTTGAAGAGGGGCTGTGCAGTTTGTCTGCCTCTTCTGCCATCTAATAATCTAATTACCTTTGAGATCTTTCAATTTTATCTTTCTGATACTTTATAACAAGTTGAAGCAGATAATGCTTCCATAAAACCCCCAAAAACCAAACTAACTGCTCTCAAGTTGATTCCAACTCATAGCGACCCACATTGGGTTGCCAAGGCCATAAATCTTTACTGAAGTAGACTGCCCTATCTTCCTGCCATGGAGCAGCTGGTGGGTTTGAGCCAACAAGTTTCTGGTTAGCAGTCAAATGCCTTAGGCATTGCACCACCAAAAAACAAACAAACTCTCTGCCCTTTAGTCAATTCCAAATCATAGTTACCCCCGTTGAGTTTCCGAGGTGGTAAATCTTTGCAGAAGTAGACTGCCCCACCTTCCTTCTGCAGAGTGGCTGGTGGGTTTGAATCGCCAACCATCTGGTTAGCCATCAAGTGCCTTAGGCACTGTGCCACCACAGCTCCTTAATCCTTGCATATTCCCCACTAATCAAATCTTCAAATATAACAAATGCTTAAATATCTATTCAATTGTGAACTTGAATCATTGGTGTTAACATTTTAATAAATTTAGGACTATTTCTGTTTATTGAGTATTAGTATTCTGTAATTAAAAAAACCTAACTTTGTATAAAGTATGCCTGTTCCTAGAATAAGATGTCAAACTCTATTAATTTTATGGTAAGTCTATAGGTTTGTTCTGAATTCCTTTCTACTAAGCATTCTTGCAGATAACAAAAAAGTATCTCATTAAATCAAGTTAGAGCATTCTTCTGTGATGTAAATGAGCTGATAGCTAATTATTTCACTATTCTACTAGTGTAAACAAAAATCTCATAAGTGTTTTTATTAAAAAAAAAAAAAAAAACCAAAAGTTTTCCTGAAAGAAATGTTACCTTTGAATAGAAATGGTTCTTTGTGCAACCTTTTATGGACAGAAGAGCTGAACACAGTATCAGAAATAAAATAAAAAGGACCTGTTAAAAGCTAAGCACATACAAAAAAAAAAAAAAGTTATTTTGTTGATCTTGTGAAAACAGAAGGCTCTTCATCAATTTTGGAAGGATTTTGAAATGACATGATTTGAAAGGCTTATGTAAGATTCAGATGGAGTGAGGGTGGGACCATCTCACACAGTTAGGCAGTCATTCCACAGAGGAGCTGCAGGGCTGACTGAGGATCTGTAGACTCTTGTCTGTAGCATCAAAAAAAGTGTAGGGATTTATTTAACAAAAGTGAATGAAGCATCTTAGGGCAGGGGCTGTGGAGGGACTGACACTGGGGAGGGGCTGGGCAGCAGGGAGTCTCTATAAATGTAGTTATTCCCAGCTTTCAGGAGCTCTGGAGGCTCATCCCTCCTTATCTACAGTAGACAACATGGAGGTAAAAGGAAAGGCCTATATAAATGCTATAGGAAATGATGTGATATACATTATAGCAATATATTTTCCAAAAATGACTGCAACAATATTTCCTATCTTGCTTGGTTTTCCAGAATCTTGTCACACCCTCATTAAGCAGTAAGGTCTCTGTTCCTTCCTTTTGAACCTGGACAGGCATGTGTGACTGCCTCAATGAGCAGAATGCAATGGAAGTGATACTGTGTGATTTCCTAGGCTAGGTAAGAACAAGCCTTCTGTGGCTTCTGCTCATCTCTCTTTCGGAAAACTTGCCTTTGGAACCCTTAGCTTCCAAGTGGGATGTTCAAGGCCACCATGCTATGAGGAAGCCCAAACTACATGATATAGAGAGATGACATGGAAAATCACTGATAGAACCTGAAGAGAGAGAGAGGCTTGTCAGCTTCCAGCTGCTCTATTTTCTTGGTGGTTCTAGCTCCAGCCAATCTGAATGCAACCTCATGAGAGACCCTGAGCCAAAACCTGGCTGAGCTACTTCCTACAAAATCTGTGATAGATAATCGATTTATTGTCATTTTAAGTCATTAAGTGTTGGGGTTGTTTTTCACATAGCAATAAATACACTAATAAGAGACCATGGACAGAGAAAACAGACAGTATATTTAAAAGAGCCCTAAATTGAAAGGCATTCACTTCTAATTAACTAAAAACCAAATCAAACCCATTGCCATTGAGTTGATTTTGACTCACAGTGACCCTATACAGCAGAATGGCCCATAGGGTTTCCAAGGCTGTAATCTTTCCTGAAATAGACTGCCGCATATTTCACATAAGGAACAGCTGGTGGGTTCGAATCACCTGCTGTTTGATTAGCAGCTGAGCACTTAACCACTGAACCACCAGCGCTCCTTATCTCAAATCACAGGCACTGATACTTGGCTGAGACACTTCTCACTTGGGCAACTATGCAACATATTCCAGGGTAATAGCAGCATAGATTTATTAATAATTGTCCAAACAACTCCAGAGAGTTTAGTTAGTATAGAATAAATGCTATAGGAATTTGCTCAACGCTAACTTCCCTGAAGATGTAATTTTCAATTTCATATATTCCTAAAGGTCATATAAAATATGAAATTAAATACTGTAGGAAAATCATTCAAAGGTTTAAATTATATTTTGTTATGGAACAGGTAAGATTGGCCCAGATTTTTGGTCACTGGTACCACAGAACATTTGACTTTCGGTAGAGTCCCTGGGTGGTGCAAGTGGTTAACACGTTTGCTGGCTATCTGAAACTTTGGAGGTTCAAGTTCACCCAGAAGCATCTCCGAAGAAAGGCCTATTAATCTGTTTCTGAAAAAATCAGCCATTGAAAACCCTATGGAAAGCAGTTCTACTCTGACACACTTGAGATTGCCATGAGTCAGAAATGACTTGAAAGCAACTGTTTTTTTCAATCCTTTCTGGCTATCAGATCATTCTGGTTAGAGTACTTTATTTCTTTTACTGGCATTCCTCAGAAAATCATTAAGATTTTAGCTAATTTACATCTTGCTTTCAATAATTTCATTTTTTTTCCTCACCCAAATAATGAGCTTAGTTTAAATTTGTAATCAGAACAAAGAATAAAGCAATTTCTGTTATAAAATTAAAATACATGTTTATAAACAATTTTAATAAAGTTATAATGAGGATATATTTAGTTTCATAAAATACTTAAATTATTTAAGCTCACTTGGAAGTAAAATTATATTGTTAATAAATAAAAGTATCTCTCTTATTTGGAGACTCAAAATTTAGGATTTACAAAAGCTATTTTTTGAAAATTAGAGAATAACCACAAACCCTGAGAAGTACAAATGTGAAACAATTTATGGTTATACCTTCACGGTTAACTAAGAACTCTGGTAGATAGAAAAACTCAGGGATGAGTTCTTTCACATCAGTCATAGATTCAAAAGATGAGAGGCGCCAAGTTGTATTTGTAGAATGAAAAGTTCTATCTGGAATGTCAAAACTTTGATCTATAAAGAAATGAAAATAATACAATTAAGATACAAACACCTGATTCCACGTGAAGCCTGTCATAATTAATTTACATTTACAACTTCAAAAAGATTAAAATAATGTTCATTTTGCTTGTTTTAGTTTAAAAGACGTTATTCATGTCCTTGAAGAGAACGATTTCTATAATTATTTGACATCATACTATATAATTTTTAATTTGTATCATACTTTCATAACATACATAATTAGATGAATTTATATCATTTATCTGTTTACCTGATTACATCTGTCTCCCCAAGGAAAATGAAAGCTCCACAAGAGCAGGCACCTGGTGTATTACCACTGAGCACATCATAGTAGTCAATAATGAATTCTCAATAATTATGCACTTATTGAATGCATGAATAATGAAGGAAAATTAAAGTTCAAGTAGGTAAAATCATTTTTCCCCCATCAGGAGACAAAATTATTTCTTTACTTGTAATTGCTAGAACTACTTTTTTTCCCTTTCTTTTCAATTATTTCTATTTTGGGAGAGGCACTGTTATTTTGAAGAAATTCATGGCCATAGATGAGGCATTGTTATTTAGATGTTTTAACTCTGAGGTTAAAGAACTGAGTGAAATTTCCTATGAATGAAGATGAAACTAAGTATAGTTACTCTTTTGTTTTTTGGTGTAGACTATTAATAATCAGGGGGAGCTGTGGTGGCGTAGTGCCTAAAGCATTTGACTGCTAACCAGAAGGCTGGTGGTTCAAACCTATCAGCCACTCCTCAGAAGGAAGATTGGGCAATCTACTTCCATAGTGATACTGCCTCAGAAACCCAAGGAGGAGTCACTATGAGTTGAATCAAACTTGATGGCAGTGAGGTTTTTTTTTTTTAATTAATAATCAATACTGAGTTTTGACCTTGTCTCTTTTCTCTCAACAATTATCAGAATTTCTAGCCATAAGCTAGGCCTGGAATATTAAAATATTTATCCAAAACATCAGCAGTATTTCATCATTTAATGCGTCTCTGAACTTGCTTAAAGGTGAATACATGTTATCATTCGGAGACTGGAACAAAACTAATCTCAGCATCAAGCAAGGGACAATTTTAAAAGGATATGCTGTATTTGTCCCTCAAGCCTTAGTTACTCTGTCAAAAAATATTTCCTACTACATTTATTACCTTCTCATTACTTCTGGGTTAGCCACTAAATAAAATCTGGAAAGGAAAGAGGTTTATAATTAATTTTTCCTCAGCTAGCACGGAGGCCCTTGAAAGTAATGCCTACAAACTCACTCAGCAGAAAAGGTTATCAATATAAATGGAATTCAGCATAATTAAAGGCAATTGTGTAAGGCTACAGTGAGTTCACAATTTTGTAATCTGGGGTTGAGATTAAGGAACTGTGGAACAAGAGAAGCTCATTCTGATGATGTTCAGATTTTAAGATTCCCTGTTGTTTCCTTTTTTTTTTTTAAAAGTTCTACTACAAATTTCTAGAATCTAAAACATGCATGTACTAAACAAGTGGTTCTTAACTTGTAGCACTTTTGCCCCCAGGGCACACCTGGCAGTGTCTTAGGGACTTCTGGTTGTACTAATTAAGGGCTGAGGGTAGTGCCATGGGCACTTAGTGGATAGAGGTGAGGGAAGCTGCTAAACTACCTACAATGCACAGGACATCCCCCACAACAAAAAATTATTGAGCCCAAAATGCTAAGGTTGAGAAACCCTGTACTAAACCATAGCGCACAAATAAACTCAAAAGTCAACATAAACGATTTTAAATTAATCAGATGAAACAGAAAGGGGACTCAAGCAGTTTCAGGCTTGTATTTTTATAATTTGTTTTAAATACACAATAAAGTAAACAGTGTAATAGCAGTATGTATGAAAATAGATTCAGAAATTTTTGTTGATTGGGAGCTTTGTATTAATGGATTCTTAGGCTACATTAAGAGAAAGGTAGTACTTAGAGAGAAGAAACAGTTCTGTTATGCACTGCAATGGTCCGAAACCACATCTGAAATAGTCTTTCCCATTCTGGTTGCCATATTTTAATAAGGACATTTACAAAGCAGAACATATCTAGAGATGATCAGAATAGTTACAGATTTGTAGACTACAGCAAACAAAACCAAAAACTCACTGTCATTAAGTCAATTCTAACTCATAACACTATAGGACACAGTAGAACTGCCCCATAGGATTTCCAAGGCTGTAAATCTTTAAAGAAACAGACTGCCTCATCTTCTTCCCCTAGAGTGGCTCGTGGGTTCCAACCACCGACCTTTTGGTTAGCAGCCAAATGCTTTAACCACTGTGCCACTAGAGCTCCTTATAGCTTAAACATTGTTTTTTAAAACTATTAACTACAGAACTGTCTTATTTATTTTTATATTCCTTGCAGCAGCTGAGACAGGACTTTGCATACAGGAAGCTCTCAACTTGACAAATTAACTAAGGATAATTAGCCTGGGGGAAAACAAGACTGAGATGGAGAAAGGGGACAGGACAATCATGTTCAAATATATAAAGAGCTATGAAGTGGAAAGTTTGGTCTGTGTACCTATAGAGAGACAGATAGAAGAACGTCCTTTTTATACACCAAATAGAGAACAAGATTAATTCTTCTAAGAGGTTGTAGGAGTTTTTACATAAAGAAGTTCAAAAGCATTTGAATAATGAATAGATAAATGATTCCACAATGGCTTCTGGATGCCATGAGGAGTAATTACAGAGCTAATTTCCTAGTTTTCATTAGAAATGATAGGTAAGAATGTCCCTATTTTGCTCACAAATCAGTAAATTCATCTCTAAGACATCTTCAAAACTGCCAACTGACACTTAAAATAATCTCTAGAAGATTATTAACTAGAAAGTTACTAGAGTGAAGGTGCCAGTATGGCTCTCATACTAACTTGCTTTCAGAACAAATTATGGGAGTTCTGGCAAGATGGCGGTCTAGGCAGAAAAGACGGCACAGACTCTCTTCAACAAAGAAAAGGGAAACCAATTAACACAGACACAGAAGATACTCTTGGACCACTGAGCCTTGAAGGGGAGGATATAGAAGTGGACTAAAGCCCAACTAGCAGAAGAATTTGAGTGAAAATACCAAAAAAGGAGACATAAGAACTGCGGTCTGGCAGCAATCCTGAGTGATCCTCACAGCACAGACAGCTTGGAGATTCCCGAGTGGTGGTAGGACCTAAGAATTAACCTAAAAATCAGCCCTGCTAGCCAGGAACTGCACAGAGGACTGCTGTGGTGGCTGGGGAATCAACGGAGAAGGTGAAGAAAAAGGCGGACTGAGCTGTGGACTTTTGCACTGCCATTTTGAAGGTTTAAAAGTGGCTTGACTATTTTGGATATTTAAAGAGACAGCGCTCTCGCAGATTCCTGGGGCTTAAGAACACATTCTGCTTCCCAGCAAACCTAAGGACACTCCAGACCTGCAAGACTGAAAAGGTACCACATTCCTCTTGTTACTCTTATACCCCACACCCACTTGGTGAACAGAGGTGTGGCCATCCCCCACTCCCACCTACCTTCTGGGCCCACAGGAACTCCATCACAGTCTGTGTGCTCAGACGGTGCCCTGCCCTGCCCTGTCCTCCACTGATTTTTTTTTTCCTCTTTTTTTCATTTTCGCTCTCTTTTTTCTAGTGATTAGTTTGCTTTTATTTGTCTGTTTTAAAACAACTATTATTATTAATACTTTCGTCCTTTTTACTATTATTCTTAATCTTCCTCTCCCAGGTCCTAGTTTTCAGCATGTTTTCTTGTCCTTGTTCCTGGTTGAAAATTTTTCTTTTTTTTTATAAATTTAAGTTTTTTCCCCCCTTTTTTCTCATGATTAACCCCATTCCTTGTTTTCCTTTTTGCATTTTTCCTATTTTTTTTTTCTTCATTATTCTCCTTCTCTACATTTTTTCTCTTAGTGCTCTATCCCCAGATATTGCAGGTTTTCTTGTTTTTTCTTCCTCTTTTTCCCTTTTTTCTTTTTTTGGTTACTGTTCCTGTGTGACTACATGGTGTGTTTTTTGTCCATGTGCTTTTAGTTTTTTGATGGTTATTCAATTATATATTGTATCTAACTGAGTGGGAGACAACAACAGTCCCCATAAGACACAACTACACCCACACCTCCTGTATCTTCACTTACTGAGAGCCACTACCTCCTTCTCCACCAATGGGCCAATGATAAAAAAGCACCAAGAAGAGCCTGAATCATCCTTGGCAGCTCTTCACAAACAGTTAACAGAGATCTAAATACAACAATGCCATGGCACCTGGGAGACAACAGAACACCACAGTCCACATAAAGAAGCAGGATATAGTGGTAGAAACAAGGGAACAGGATACAGACTCAGAACACATCCCTGAGGAAGAAGCAGAATTGGAACTCTCCGATAAGGAATTCAATAGAATTATATTTAGGTATTTTCAAAGGACTGAGAGACAGACCAAAGAAAACACAGAAAAAACCTTACAAGAATTTTGGAAGAAAATACAAGAACAAAACGACAATTTCCCTGATATGATGAAAGATGAGAATATATCCATTCAAGAAGTCCAACGAACCCCAAACAGGATAGACCCCAAAAGAAAATCACTAAGACACATCAGAACAAATTACAGTAACATATGCCAATGAATAAGGAAGGCCAAAGAAGAATTGATGCCTTTGAATTATGGTGTTGGCGAAGAGTATCAATATACTATGGACTGCCAAAAGATGAACAAATCTGTCTTGGATGAAATACAGCCAAAATGCTCCTTAAAAGGAGAGAATGACAAAATTTCTACTTATGTATTTTGGACATGTGGTCAGGAGGGACCAGTCCCTGAAGAAGGACATCATGCTTAGTAAAGTAGATGGTCATTAAAAAAGAAGACGACTCTAAATGAGATAAATTGACACAGTGGTTCAACAATGAGTTCAAACACAGAAATGATTGTGAAGATGGCAAAGGACCACACAAGTTTTTGCTCTGTTGTACACAGGATCACCATGAGTCAGAGCCAATTTGACGACATGTAACAACAATATTCCCCTCTTTTAGACACTAAAGCTAATTTACATGATTTGAAATAATTACTGATATCATGATTAGTATAAAATTCACTTTAAGAAATGAATGGCATACACTTTTTTTAAGAGTAAATTTTATGGTATGTAAATTCTATTTCAATTCCTAAAAAATGAATTACATTTTTATAAACTTAGACATATCTGATTTGAAGCTGAAATTTGAGAGACATTAGCAGATAATATGACTTACTGCAGTTTGTTGGGGAGAATTTTGGTGAAGGAACAAGTAAACCTAGTGAAGGTATAAATAGTTCCCCTGTGGTCTAATTGGTTTCCATGAGTTTTCAGGATATCATTCAACTTTTTCAGATGACACAACATGACCATTTCAGCAGTCAGAAAATTTCATTACCTTGATAGGCTAAAAACATCTTTGTGAAAGGGGGCATCCTGACTAGGAAGTGGAGCACAGTCCCGCTGTTTGAATAGTGGGAGCCATAGTGATACGGCTGCACAGGAGGCATAGGGTCGTCTTCTCTGGCTCCTTTGCGGTATTCTTCTTCCAAATACTGATAGGACAGAGGATTGGAGCATAATAAATGAGAGCGTGCCTTAGGCCAAACTGGAATAGCTTCAATGGTTTCTTCTCCACCACCCTCTTCAGTGCCATAGATTGCCGTCCACTCTGCCCAAGACATAGCACCCTGAGTGTCTTGGAGTCTTCCTCTTGGTGCCATTCTAAAACCTGACCCCTCAAAAAGTACCTCACATCCTTTACTCTCTCATTCCTACATACAAATCTACCTGTGTCTAAGTGGACAAAGCACTCAATTAATTAGAACGGCTAATATTACTAGAGATATTTGCATTTTAAAAGAATTTCAAGATGTAATGGTAGGTAATGCATGCTACTCTAGAAGCCAAAACAATAAAAATGTAAAACCATGTCACATTATTGGAATGTGAGGTATAATTATAAAAATTTATGACTATTTTATAGTGTAGTTACAAAGAGATAAATAAGGATACAGTGATATTTTTCACTACTCTTTTCTTCTCATCATACAGCAGGAAGCTGCACCAAACATTTTAATATCTGTCTGTCACTATTCTCATCTCCCACAGCTCCTGTTTGGCTCTGATAACAAAGTCATGTGGTAATGGATTGATTCCCACAGCAATACCCCATTGTCAACAAAATAGAATCAAGCAGTAACAGTTACAAGATGCTTGGAAGGATCATTCTGGCACTGTGATGCAAAATAATGCAGTGAATAGAGAAAATGCTTCAGCCACTCTTACCTAAATACTGTTGTGAAGAGAAATGCAGCATGTGCCTAATGAATTTTTTTTTTTTTAATTTCTAACAGAGTTTCATTAATATTAGTTTCTCAGAGATAGTTAATACTTCAAAATCTGGCAAATTTTTATGTAAAAAGCTAATGTTAAAAAACAAAAAAACAAGCAAACAAAAAAAAACCTTATGTAAAACTCCCTGAATATGAATAATAAGGGGCAACAGTACATTACAAATAGCTCTGGTGGCGCAGTGCCTAAGGCATTTGACTTAACCAGAAGGTTGGAAGTTCAAATCCACCAGCCACTCCACAAAAGGAAGATGGGGCGATCTACTTTAAAGATTTACTGCCTCAGAAACCCAATGGTGGTCACTATGTGTCAGAACTGATTCGATGGCAGGCAGTTTGGAATTTGTGTTTATGGTACGTTATAAATACAGTGATACCATTATGCATGTAATACAAGGGGATATGAATAGCAAGCACTTGGAATTCTTTGTGATTTTTACAAGGAATGAGTTATGTATTCGAATATAATAATGAATTAATAGTTTTTACTTTATGCTACAAAAAAGTGCATTTCTTTTTCTGGCCAAAGTGTTTCCAGAAAATTGACACAGACCAATAGCATAATATTTAAAAATCACACAATGATTTCTAGTTGTGTCTCAATCAAAGCACAAGGAAGTGAAAAACAGAAAGATCAACACTATAACTTAAAATTAGGTAAAACACAAGTTTATGCAACAAAATTGCACTTTTCATTAAGCAAATACAAGGAAAAACTTAAGCTACCTTGTATGTGTCCACATAACGATCTTCCTTTTCTTTATACTGCACTGCTATAGGCTTAGAGAGATTTCTACAAAGGAAGAGATGAAGAAGAACATTAAACATTTTGACAGTGTCAGTAGAAAGCTGCCTAGCTGTCTGCATCCTGTAAGTCAATCACTGATCAACAAAATGCTCAGCCCTAAATTAGGAGCTCTGGTAGTGTAGTGCCTAAGGCACTTGGCTGCTAACCAGAAGGCTGGTGGTTCAAACTCACCAGTCACTCCTCGGAAGGAAGATGGGGCAATCTACTTCCGTAGTGATACTGCCTCAGAAACCCAAGGAGGGGTCGCTATGAGTCGGGGCCGACTCGA